TCTTCTTCTTAGCTGCCACGTGCTGTTGGCACCCAAACCTTGAGTGGAGCCGGCCTCCTGAAGATGTTCAACAGAGCCACAGATGCAGTCAGCAAAATGACCATCAAGATGAACGAATCAGACATTGTAAGCCGTCGAGCATTTCAATGATACGTATGAAACCACTTTTGTATCTCTTGCCCCTGGCCGGGTTGCCTGAGATTATCTGAATTCGCCTTCTCTTCCTACCCTTGACTCCTTGGGTTGGTTCTCTGCCCCGTCTCTCCTTTCTAGTGGTTTGAAGAGAAGCTCCAGGAGGTGGAATGCGAGGAGCAACGTCTGCGGAAGCTGCACGCCATTGTAGAAATGCTGGTCCATCACAGAAAAGGTAAACTCCTTTGATGGACTAGCTAAGGGTAGGATTTGCATCCGGGACCTTGAGTTGAGTACAGGCAGTCCTCAGGTTAAGAATGTCCAACGTAAAAGACAATCTCTAGAAAACAGGACCCATCATGAGTCCTGTCAGTTAGGGATTGTCGTCTGGTGGGACCCACGAAAAAGGGCCTTCTTGGTGGTGGTCCCTTTTGATAAACCATCGATAAACCATCATTCCCCTCTATGGTACGGTTCCCCCTACCCCCCCCCCCCGTTGCTTTTCTGAAAGGCCCTAAAAATGTAGTTTTCTCAGCAGGCCTGGGAACCCCAGAATGGAAGATAGAGCCAGTCAAGGGGCTGATTTTATTGTGTTGTTGCTGCCATGAAAAGTGGGATGGGGGTTTTTTTAAGTGTTTTTATTATACAGTGATTTTTTTAAAACAATTGTGTAGGCCAGCGGGTGTCATCTCTATGTGAGTTGAGTGGCTATATAAATACATTTAATAGATGAATAAAAACCCCGGGGTTTACTTTATAAAGATGGGGAGGGCAGTTGACTCTGCTCCAATTCCCAGCAAGCTTTAGCTGTGGAGCGATCAAAAAGGACGGACTTTTAGGATTCAGAGCTTCCGATTTTGGTGTTTTTTTCCCCCCTCTGGCATCACAATCCCCTCCTTGCGATGTTTGAGGGTCCTTTTTCTGCTGGGCTTCCGTGTCGCTCGCAAGGAAGGGGGGGGAACCTTCCCTTCTCACGCGCCCCCTTCCGTCCTGCAGAGCTGTCGCTGAATACCTCCCAGTTTGCCAAGAGCCTGGCCATGCTGGGCAGCTCGGAGGACAACACGGCCTTGTCTCGGGCGCTGTCCCAGCTGGCCGAGGTGGAAGAGAAGATCGAGCAGCTGCACCAGGAACAGGCCAACAGTGACTTCTTCCTCCTGGCGGAAGTCCTGAGCGACTACATCCGCCTGCTAGCTGCCGTCAGGGTAAGAACTCCGGGTGTCTCGCTGAAGGCCGGCATGGAGCAGACGGTGCCCACAGAGCTTCTCGGTTATTGCGGTGGGCGAGGGCTATGCTGGTGGTCCCTTATACTGGTAGGAGTCAATGAGCTCAGAGAATGTAGCTCAGAGTTGAAATGAGGGGTAATGAATAGAATTAGAACTAGAATTGTAGGATAGGACAGGACAGGATAACAAATTATGAAATATAAAAGAGTAGAATATAAATAGAATAGAATAGAATAGAATAGAATAGAATTAGAATAGAATAATAGAAGAAAAGAGAAATTAGAATAGAATAGAATAGAATAACAAATTATGAAATATTAGCGTAGAATTAGATTAGAATAATAATAATAATAATAATAATAATAATAATAATAATAATAATAATAATAATAATAATAATAATAATAATAATAATAATAATAATAAAGTTGGAAGGGACCTTGGAGGTCATCGAGTCCAACCCCCTGCTCAGGCAGGAAACCCTACACCATTTTGGACAAATGGCTGCCAAGTCTCTTCTTAAAAACCTCCAGTGTTGGAGCATTCACCACTTCTGGTGGCAGGTTGTTCCATTGGTTAATTGTTCTGTCAGGAAGTTTCTCCTTAGTTCTAGGTTGTTTCTCTCCTTGATTAGAGTAGAGTAGAGTAGAGTAGAGTAGAATAGAATAGAATAGAATAGAATAGAATAGAATAGAATAGAATAGAATAGAATAGAATAGAACTGGAAGAGACCTTGGAGGTCTTCTAGTCCAACTCCCTGCTCAGGCAGGAAATGCTCTCTGACTTGGTGGTTTTCTTACAGACGTTTCATTAAGTAGCATCCTCAGTGCTAGAAGGACATCATTTCACGTCGAACAGAGAGCAAACCCTTCTAGCACTGATGATGTTGCCTAGTTGGGTAATGAAATGTCTGCAAGAAAACAGCCAGGCCCAGAGGGCGCCCAGGATCTCTGCTAGGCGTTTGCACCCTTGATCTCTCCTCTGAGCCAAACCCTCATCCCCCCCCCCCCATGGAGGATCGGATGCTTCCAGCCGTGGGTCTCTCCCTCTCGACAGGCGGCCTTCGACCAGAGAATGAAGGCTTGGCAGCGCTGGCAAGATGCCCAGGTCACGCTGCAGAAGAAACGGGAAACTGAGGCCAGGCTTCTGTGGGCCAACAAACCCGACAAACTTCAGCAAGCCAAAGAGGAGATCTCGGAGGTGAGAGGGAGGGTTCACACACGTGTCTCCCGAAATCTTCTGGGTTTTTTTTTTCCCCCTTTCTGTAACACAGTGGTTCTCAACCTGTGGGTCGGGACCCCATTTGGGGTCGATCGACCATTTCACGGGGGTCGCCAAGCAAGGCTGTCCGCCATTTTTT